CCCTCCCCCCACTGGCCCCCTTCTTCCCACCCTGATGGCCCCCTCGTGCCCAGGGCTCCCGGAGGTACTCCTGGGTCTCGGAGGAGCCGCTGAGCTATGTGAGCTGGCAGGACGGGGAGCCCCAGCAGCCAGGGGGCTGCGCCTACGTGGACGTAGACGGGGCCTGGCGCACCACCAGCTGCGACACCAAGCTGCAGGGTGCTGTCTGTGGTGGGAACAGTGGTGAGTGCCCAGCCGCTGGGGCCGAGGGGTGGGCAAGGCGCCGGTTATCCCGGGGAGGACTCTGGGACACTTCTTCAACCCTGCATCCCCGCAGGGCCCCCTCCTCCCCGAAGAATAAGCTACCACGGCAGCTGTCCCCAAGGGCTGGCCGACTCCGCCTGGATTCCCTTCCGGGAGCACTGCTACTCCTTCCACATGGAGCTGCTGCTGGGCCACAAGGAGGCGCTGCAGCGCTGCCAGAGAGGTGGGCCGGGGCAGGCGAGTGCCCACGTGTGGGCATTTCAGGTGGTGACCCCCGGCGTGGACACTTACAGACTCCACGGATGCAGTCCCCCTGCTACGCTCCACCTGTAGGCCGCACTCACACATAAGTGCCCCGTCGTGTTCCGATTTACAGGGACCACATGTGACATTACACGCATGTAACACCTGCCACGCACACGCAGACGCCCAGACTCCACACCATCCTCTACCCAGGCTTCCAGAGAAGAGGGCTGGGGCCTCTGGGAAGGGGGAGGGGGGTCTCCGCCACCCCCTGGGGAGACCTGTCTGCCCTGACATGGGCCTCCCTTGTGTCCAGCGGGTGGGGCAGTCCTGTCCATTCTGGATGAGATGGAGAATGTGTTCGTCTGGGAGCACCTGCAGAGCTCTGAGGGCCAGAGTCGGGGTGCCTGGCTGGGCATGAACTTCAACCCCAAAGGTGGGTACCCTGTGTGTGGCATCGGGAGGGTGAAGCCTCAGGGTACAGGGGGGAAGCCCTCCTCCAGGGCTTGGTGGGGGTGAGGGCTTGCAGGAGAGGGGAATTGGTTCTAGAACAGGCCTGCTCTCTTGCACCCGCTCCTGCTCCACCTTGTGTCCTCTCCCCCACACCCCTCAGTGTCTTGTTTCCCATAGGAGGCACCCTGGTCTGGCATGACAACACAGCTGTGAACTACTCCAACTGGGGGCCCCCCGGCCTGGGCCCCAGCATGCTGAGCCACAACAGCTGCTACTGGATCCAGAGCAGCAGCGGGCTGTGGCGCCCGGGCGCCTGCACCAACATCACCATGGGCGTCGTCTGCAAGCTCCCTCGAGGTGAGTGCGCTGGCAGATGCTGCGCTCAGCCCCCTGCCGCCCCCACTCGGCCGGCCGGTGCTGGGCCTGGGCCAGGGGCCTGCTTCTCATTCTGCCGGAGACAGGGCGGGAACCGACAGGCCCCGGGGCCGCCAGGACCCTCCCCCGGGATAAATTGGTCTGTAGGAGGGACTGGCCCTTCCTACAAATTTCCAAACTAGACAGCAAACCCATCATTTTGTAGCGGTTAAGGGCAGGGACAAGGTTCAAGCCCCGGGCAAACCACTTTACCAACTCTGTGACCTTGGGCAAGTTACTTGAAGCCTGTGGCCTCAGGGTCTTCCTATGTAAAATGAGGATAATAACAGTACCTACGAAATTAAACGAGTTCATGAGCTCATAACGTGGCTGGCACTCGGGAAGTGCTGTCTCCGTGTCTGCTTATTATTTCTGTTAACTACTTCGGTTATTGACTGGTCCCTCCCTCTCCCCTGCAGCTGAGGAAAGCAGCTTCTCTCCATCGGGTGAGTCTGCAGCTGGGCCCAGACCAGCCCTCTCCCCGCTTTTCCCCCCGCATGCAGGGCAGCAGGTGGGCAGGTGGGCAGCCGACGGGCAGCCTGTCCCCTGAGTGTCCGGCTTGCCGCAGCAGCGCTCCCGGAAAACCCGGCGGCCCTGGTGGTGGTGCTGATGGCGGTGCTGCTGCTCCTGGCCCTGCTGACTGCGGCCTTGATCCTCTACCGGCGGCGACAGAGCGCGGAGCGTGGGACCTTTGAGGGCGCCCGTTACAGCCGCAGCGCCTCTGGCCCCGGCGAGGCCACTGAGAAGAACATTCTGGTGTCTGACATGGAAATGAATGAGCAGCAGGAGTAGAGCCAAGGGCGTGGGCAGGGTGGGGACAGGAGGAGTGGGGAGGCTGGGCCCTGGGTCAGCGGGGCCCCCCCACCAGCTACCAGCCCAGGTGGCCTATGGAGGGGTGCCTTTGGGATCACTGTCGGGAGCTGGGGCTGAGCAGGGCCTGGCTGGTGGGGTCCCTCCCTCCCATGAGGGCTGGGCTGAGACCTGGCTGAGTGCAGAGTGGTGTTTCCCTTTTGGGGGGCCTAAGATCTTGTCACCTAGGCCTGTGCCCCCATGGTGACCGGAAGCAGGACGGGAGCCTCTTTCTGCCCCTTTCTCCCCAGGCCCCACTGCCCAGGCCTGCTGACCCACGCCCCAGGACCCCCTTCTCATTGCAGAACCTGAGGGTCCTCCCCTGAGCCCTCAGCCAGCCTCTGTCGCTTCTCTCCTTCCTGGCAGCCTAGGCTCCCAACCCCTCTCCCCCATCCCCTCTCCCTGCTTCTCATGCAGCCCTTCCTTCTGAGCCAGAGCCCCAGGGTTTGGGGAGCCCTGTTGCTCATGGTGGGTGTCAGCGGAGGGAGCCAAGCATCTGTCACTCCTGTGCCTGCTGGAGTGGCCCATGGGGCATGGCAGGAGGGGCCTAGGTTGGGCCTGAGAACCAGGGCACCACTGGGGTGTCACCTGGGCTGGAGACAGGACTGGGAGAGACGCCCTGACCTTCTGGGGGTGACCGGGCTGAGGTGTCATCTCCTGCCGGTTAGGGGAGGGCTCTGTCCCTAAAGAGTCCCCTGTGGGGACCAAAGTAAGTTCCCTAACGTTTCCAGCTCCTGGCTCTGGTTGGGAGAGAGGAGGGGGTTGCTAGAGCCCCGGGGACCTCAGAAGCAGGAGACCGCCCTCTAGTGGGGCCCAGAGGAACAGTGCCCAAGCTCCTGGGGGGCCCAGTCCCAGGGCGCTGACTCAGTGCCTTCCGGAACCCCGGCGGGGGCTGGGGCGGGCGGCCAGTCCCTGTGCCACGGCGCGGGGCAGTGTGAACACAGACTCAAAGACGTCCTTTTTTGTAGTTCTTAATTTTTTTAATGTGCCATTATTGTGAAAAAAAGAAAAGAGAAAGAAGCAAACAAATAAAACACCTTTAAGAGGCTTGAGAGAGAAGGGTTCGTGCTTTGTTCTGTCGTCAAAACTTCCTCGTGTTGCCTCAGAGATAAATGTCGTGTTTGGAGTTCGTGTTGTGTGCTCCTTCTGCAGTCCACCATTTTGTTACTATGCCTTGGCCCCATGGAGACCCCTGCACCCTTGTCTCTTCTTCTGGACCCTTGCCTTTCTGGGCCTGCTCCCCACGTTCCCTATTCCTGGGGACGTGTGTGTAAGTAAGTGACGGCTCAGGAGCCACCTGACGGCTATGTGAGCTTCGGCAACTTAGCTCACTTTTCAATGTGTGTAAGATAGGAGGACAGGATGAGCTTCCTGGGGCTGCTTTAAGGATATTGGAGGATCAAATGAGATCATCTGTGCAAAGCAGTTAGCAGCCCAGCACCTCCGAGCTCAGCCAGTAAGGGCCTCATAAATGCCAGCTGTTACTGTTATTTCTGGGCGGGGGCCCCCAGGGCAGCCTTGGAGGTGCTCAGGCCAGCCCTGGGCTGGGGGTTCCACGTCACCATCTTTCAAGGCAGCCACATACCTGTCTCTGAGCTTCGAGAAAGTGCACATTTGTTCTTGGGGAGTTTGGGCTCTGAAACCCCCCAGAGGCGGGGTCGGTGGCTTGCAAGACCTTTCTCCCACCAGCATTCACTCCGGATATTTGAGCTGCAGACAGCAGTGAACAAAGAGAAGGCTCTGCTAGTCAACGATGCCAGGTACGTGCTAGGTGCTGTGGGGAAGACTGAACTAGGCCATGGGAAGGGGGTGTTAGTTTGGACTGGCTGGTGGGGTAGAGTCTTATCAGAGGAAGTGAGATGAACCTGAAGGAGGTGAGGGAGTGAGCAATGGAGACACCTAGGTAGGTCCAGGCCGGGGG